CACCGAGACCCGGGTGGGGGCTGGGGGCTGGAGTGGAGCTGAGCATGGAGGGGACAGAGGGGCAGGGGCCACGGAGGCTCCCTGCCATGGAGCTAAACTCGTGGAAATCGTCACTTTCGGGAGAGAGGGCAACCCTGTCCACACCACCCTTAAGGGGGACCCGCCTGCCACCCCCACCCCTGTCATGCACCTGCTGTGTGGCCCCAGCAGTACCCACCCACCCCCACCCGCATCAGTCCTGAGTGAAAGAGGAGCAGCTTGCGGGGGCCCTGTCCCCATGACCCTCCCACCCCCTCCCGCTTATTCTCCCCACTGCTCTCTGGAGACTAGCTGTTATGCTCATACCCAGATGCCCACATTTGTGTCTGAGACTGGGTGTGACTGGCTGTGCACATGTACGCCTGTATGCCTGCGGGGGTGACACGCCACTGTCACCCTCATAGAAGGTAAATCTATGGCAGACTGTGGTGGAAGGTCAGTGTAGTCTAAGTATATGTGCTCGGACATGTGTGTGTGTGCATGTGTGTGCATGCGTGCCTGTAAGCTTGTAGTTACAAGTCAAGAAGAGCACACAGAGGAAGCCCTTCTATGTGATCCCCTTGGGCAGCGCAGAGGCATATGGAGATAAGTGAGGCCTGTCTTCCTAAAAGGTGTCGCACGCCACTAAAACATCCAAGAACTGACTGGCAGTGTGTCTATGTGCTTTCGAGTGTGTGAGCAGGTGGTTGGGTGTGCAGGGATAAGGCTGGTGAGCATGCGAGCGTGTTGGTGGTAGTCTGTGTGGCTACAACACATGCGGCAGAAGTATGAAGGAACCTGCCATATGCTGATAATGGGACTCTCTCTTCAGAGAGGTGGAGCCCTTGGTGCCAGTAACCAGCTCTCCCTCCCAGACTCTATGGACTGCAGTAAAGGGTTTACCCTGGGTGTGTCTCTAGCCTCGATGCCTCCCCCACCCCCGGCCCATGCCCTTACTCCCTCCTATGGCACCTTGGGTGCGGGGGACAATGGTTGGTGCTAAGTATGATGAGGCCAGCTATGATTTTGCAGGCAGAACATGCTCCCACCCATCACCCTCCCCCCTCTGCCTTTTGGGGCCCCTCCCCAGCCTGGGCCTCCTCCTCCTCTCTGCTACCTGAGAAGCACCACCTGATTCTTGGTGCTCTAGGTCCTGGGACTGAGGTAGGGTCAGGGGCCAAATCCCTATTAGGGTGCTGGTGGGGAAGGGCATAGGGGTCACTTTGACCCCACCCCCACCCCAAATCCTGGCTCTGGTCTCTGGTTGTTCACAGATTGGAGGGGCCAGGTTGAGATGGGAGTGTATATGTGTCTTGGGATCAGTGTCTACATAGTCCCTTGAGGGATACAGAGCTCAGCTCCGAAGTGGGAGGGAGATGGAGAGGGGAGGGGCACAGAGTAAGCCTGAAAGGATAGTATGAGGTGGGGGTGGGGTTGTAGAGAAACGGGGCTTCAATTAGGGCCACAGGCAGCCACAAGGCAGCCGGCTTTCAGAAAGATAAGGCCTCTGTGAGCATATGGATTGTATACCAGTAGATACAGGATTCCAGTGCTCTGGGAGGTGTGTGGGGGGGGGGGGGGGGTTGGGGTGGATCGCACTCTGTAGAGGGTGTTTCTGAGAGGTGGGTGGGACTTAGTACCTGTTGGAGAGGGGCGGAGCGGTTCTTGAGTTATGAGTCTGATTGGGGCCTGAGCTGGGCTTAGGGAGGCCTGAACTAGAGGGAGTGGGGCGGGACAGGGGTGTTTGCAGAGCTCCAGGTGATCCAGCCCTCGCGCAGCAGGGACTGACACGAAGGAGATTTCGACTAATGGCAAAAGCGAGTGAAATGAGCCGAGGACAGGCCGGGGCGGGCGCCGCCAGACGCGGTGGTGCTGAGCATGCAGGATGGAGAGAGAGTGTTCACAAGGAGCCACAGACATGGCATGGCCCGCCTGCTCCTGCTCAACAAGGACCTCTCCAGGGTGAGGGCCTCACCTTGGACTCGCGCTCCTCCAGCAATGTCTCCAGGCGCTTCTGCGCCGCCCGGCCCTCGTGGTCGTCGCTGACCAGCAGGATGATGTGATTCCAGTTGTACACGCGCATCATCTCAAACCAGACGCTGGACTGGTGGGAGTAGGGCGGCACCGTCCGTAGGAAGCTCAGGTGGATGCTCTGTGCGGGGGACAGGGAGGCTGAGGCCCGGCCAGGCGAAGTAGGCTTTTCCCTCTCCCACTGATGGGACCACTTCCTCCCATCTACCCTTCCCCTGCCTGTGGCATCTACTGTGAGAGCGGAGGTTTAGCATTTTCCCAGTAGCACCCTGTCAGGGATGAAGCATGACTGTTCCTAGGGTGACTGCCACCTTCCCACCAGCACCTCTCTAAAAAGGCTGACTGTAGAAGCTTCTCCAGCCTCAATGGGCCTCCCATGGTTCTCTCTCCCTTTTCCATAACTGTATTTTGGACTGAGGTACAACTCAGTGGTAGAGCATTTGCCTAGTTCAAACAAGGCTTTGGGTTCTATCCAAGGCACTGGTAAGAAAATAGCAACTACATTTACTAGTGAGTCTTCTTTCTCGGGGTCAAACATTGCTGCCTTTCTTCCCCAGAACCCAGAGGCTGTGGCTCACTGGTTGCTTTGCTGCTTAAAATACTCTAGCTGCAGCTGGGCAGTGGTGGGGGGCACAACTTTAATCCCAGCACTCGGGAGGCAGAGACAGGTGGATCTCTGTGAGTCTGAGGCCAGCCTGCTCTACAGAGGGAGTTCCAGGGTAGGCTCCAAAGCTACAAAGAAATCCTGTCTTGAAAGAAAGAAGGAGGGGAAAAAGGAGGAGGAGGAAGAGAAAGAAGAGGAAGAAGAGGAAGGAGGAGGAGGAGGAGGAGGAGGAGGAGGAAGAAGAAGAAGAAGAAGAAGAAGAAGAAGAAGAAGAAGAAGAAGAAGAAGAAGAAGAAG